AAGTTCATGCCACAGGAACAGGAGCAACTCCAAACACAAAAGCCCAAGAAGGTATTAAAAACCTGGCTGAGGAATTCTGGGAGTTGAAGTCCACAAGTCTTAAAGTTGCCAAGGTGGAGGACCCCTGATCAAAGACACTCAGTACTCAGGGGCCATCAGACACTCACCTGTCTCCGATCCAGCCTGGATTGCAGTGGGAACACTTGCCGTTGATGTGGTTGCAGGTGTGGCCGTCCTTGCAGGGGGGGCAGGACTGCTCACAGCCCTCGCCATAAAAGCCCAGGGAGCAGATCTGGTCACACCTGGTGCCGTTCCAACCAGCTTCGCAGGCCAGGCAACGGCCGTCCACAATTGTACACGGCTGCAGCTCCTTGCACTGACCGCACCTGCAGAGACAAAGCCGAAAGTGCTGTGAAGGGGCCACGGGGCCAGGAGAGCCACCTGGCAGGAGGCACTGGCTCATTCTGGCCTTAGCAGGCAACTGGCACCTACCAGGCACTTGGCAGGGAGGCTTCTGGGCATTTCTTCCCGTTTTTTTAAGGATGGGATTCTTCCCTATCCAAAGAGGAACTTTAGGCTAGTACAGATATAGTCCTTGATTCACAACCATTCATTTAGTGACTATTTTTATTTATTATTTATTATTTTATTTTATATTATTTTATATTTTTTATCATTATTTTTACTATTTTTATTTTATTTTTACTTGTGGTTTTTACTTATGTCTAGTATGCACTGTGGACAGAATTTCATTGTGAGTTACACAATGACAATAAAGATATTCTGTTCTATTCTATTCCATCCCATTCCATATTTTCTATATTCTATTCTATTCTATTCTATTCTATTCTATTCTGTTCTATTCTTATTCCATATTCTATTCTATTCTTATTCCATATTCTATTCTACTCTTATTTCATATTCTATTCTTATTCCATATTCTATTCTATTCTATTCTGTTCTGTTCTGTTCTGTTCTGTTCTGTTCTGTTCTGTTCTATTCTTATTCCATATTCTTATTCCATATTCTATTCTATTCTTATTTCATATTCTATTCTTATTCCATATTCTATTCTATTCTATTCTATTCTATTCTATTCTATTCTATTCTATTCTGTTCTGTTCTGTTCTGTTCTATTCTTATTTCATATTCTATTCTTATTCCATATTCTATTCTATTCTATTCTATTCTATTCTGTTCTGTTCTGTTCTATTCTTATTTCATATTCTATTCTTATTCCATATTCTATTCTTATTCCATATTCTATTCTATTCTATTCTATTCTATTCTATTCTATTCTATTCTATTCTATTGACAAGCAATGTCAAGAGGGGAAGCTGGAATCATTTAAGAACCACATCATTCCCTTCATGGCAGTGATGCGCTTAGCAACCACGGCAAAAAAGGGTGTAAAACAGGGTCCATCTCGCTTAACAACTGCTTTGCTTAGCAATGGAAGTTCTGATATCAATCGTGGTTGTAAGTCGAGAACAAGCGCTGCGCTACAGACAAAGTTTATTGGGAACTGGCTGTGCTGTGATGGAGGTGGAATTCCCCTGAGGTCGCTTGATCCTTTTTCTCTCTCAGTCACTGCAATTCTGAAAACCCTGAACCAATGTGGTTTGAGGATCTGGCAGCTGGGGATGATGGAGGCTGAAATCCCCCTTGTTGCACATTGTCCGTTTTGAAACATCAAAATTCTCCTGAACTGGTGTGTGTGTTGTGTTGTGTGTGTGTGTGTGTATGTGTGTGTGTGATAGAGGGCAAATCTGCATGTGGGACTTCTGCCATCTTCTGCATTCTACAAGGCGCTCGGACAAGACTCTGCCCTTCGCTATCCCGGATAATCGGAGGAATCCCCCAATTCTGCTTTCTTTGAGCAGTTTAACAATCCAGGGATGTTCCTTGATTAAAAAATTCAAGTTATAAATGATCTCAAACGCCCAGTCAGGGACGTATGGGGATTATGTATTCTTTTTAGGAGTTACCTCTTGCCGTCTCTTTTAACATCTTTCTTGCAGTAGGACTGAACCTGCATAAAGAGGCTGCTCCTTGCTCAATGTTTACGGGGAAGATCACATGATACCTGCCGGTCAGTCCCGGAAGACGTCTCTCCACCTCGGCAAGCGTGGCCGACTGGGGTTGAAATCTGCCCATCTTAAAACTTGCCCTGGTGGAGGGACGCTGCCCTGAGCTACTCCGATGAAAGGCCCAAAGGGGCTGGGCACGGGGTGGAGTGTTGCCCATCTGCCCTGCCCTCTCCAAATCCCGGAGGGTGTGTGTGGGAAACTCCGAGGGGCCCCCGCTTACCGTCGCCTGCAGCCTTGTCCGTAGAAGCCGGCCGGACAGGCCTCCCGGCAGAACTTGCCCCGGTAGCCCGGTTCACAGGTGCAGGTCCCGTCCACCTGGTTGCACTTCCCCATGTGGCACTGACAGTAGCGGTCGCAGCGAGGGCCGAAGGTCCGGCTCCGGCACTGGCAGCGCCCCGTGAACTGTTCGCAGGGCGAGGTGCTGCAGGCGCACTGATTGTTGCAGGTGCGCCCCCACCAGCCCGGCTGGCAGATGCAGAGGCCTGTCTTCTGATCGCACTGCGAGTTGAGGCTGCAGTAGCAGGCGCTGGCGCACTGGGCCCCCCACCAGTTCGGCTCGCAGGAGCACTTGCCCGTCTTCTGATCACACTTGCCGTGCTTGCACAGACAGACGTTCTCACACCGAGGCCCCCAGCGGTTGGCGTTACAGGTGCACTGGCCCGTCACGTCCTCACACTGCCCGTTGGGGTAGCAGTTGCATAGCTCCTTGCAGTCTGGACCCCAAAAGAGTCGGGGACACTCTGCAGGGGATGAGAGGAGCAGGGGAGCACCCTGGGAGGGGTCCCGCTTCCCATAAATCCCCCCACGGTTAGCTTTGAGCAACTCTACCCTGTTATAGCACAGTGGCTGTGGATTGTTTTTTGTTTTTTTT